GGGGGGTGCCCTCCTACCCCATGCTTAGCCCCCCACACTCACACTTAGCCGCACCCCCCCCCCCGCCTGCCCCAGGCCTTTGTTCTTGGCTGGGGTCTCTGCTCAGCTCCGGGCTGAGAGGCAGGAGACCCGGGAGTCACTGGAGCTGGCGTTGTCTCTCCGACCCCCTGGTGCTCTGGAGCAGTTTCAGCCGGTTCCTTACTCTTGGCCTGTCCTGGGAGCAAACTTAACCCCTGCCCCGCTGGGGAGCCATGCAAGGTCTGGGGGAAACTGAGGCACACATTCCCTCTTTGTCACACCTGGTTAAATCTGGATTCAATGTTCTCTGGCCAGTCCCAGCTACCTGGTGAGCCCCAGAGGTAGTGTGGGGGGAGGTGGCCACAGCCCTGCTTGTGTAGTGCCTAGGGCAGGAAGCCTGGCTTGCCCAGGAGTCCCCAGCCACAGGGGGTGGACGCAGCAGAGCCAGGACTCTGGCGACGCCCTGCGTGTTGGGAATGGAAACTGGCGACATGACCCTCGGAGCAGCTTGGACGCAGGCGGGTGAGATTTGTAGTGGGGTCCCTGGGGGGGATCACAGCCTGCCCAGGCGGGATTGTGGCGAGCCGGGGGGGCCCTGGGTGAAATGGGCCGAGCCCCCCAGCCCTCTGCAGCCACTAAACAGCCTCCCTCCTGCGGCCCAGACCATTATCAGCCCCCTGGAAAATGCCATCGAGACCATGAAGAAAACCAATGAGAAAATCCTGACTGAGATCAACCGGCACCACAGCGAGCCCAGCCTGCCTGTCAACCCGCTCTCCATGCTCCTCAATGGCATCGTGGACCCGGCCGTCATGGGGGGCTTCGCCAAGTATGAGACGGTGAGAGCTCCGGGGCGAGTGGGGCAGAGCGCAGTCCTGCTGCTTTGGAGGACTGACCCCAAACGAGGGGACATCACCACCTGCCTCCAGTGAGCTGCTGTCGTGCAGGGAGCAGTGAAAAACATCAGAGTAGTTATCGTCTGTGGGGAGCCCAGGGATGGGGTAGCAGGGGCTGCAGGTCGGGAGTGAGGGGCACTGGCAGAGCTGTGGGGGGAGCCCAGGGCTGGGGTAGCAGGGGCTGCGGGTCGGGAGTGAGGGGCACTGGCAGAGCTGTGGGCAAGGGAGCACAAGTAGGGTTGCCAGGTCTGCTTGTCCACCGGAACGCCCGGTCGAAAAGGGACCCTGGTCAGCACTGCTGACCGGGCCACTAAAAGTCCAGTCGGCAGCACAGCGGGGCTAAGGCAGGCTCCCTGCCCGGCTCCATGCAGCTCCCCGAAGCAGCCGGCATGTCTGGCTCCTAGGTGCAGGCGCGGCCAGGGGGTCTCTGCGCGCCCCAGGAACTACAGCCAGTGGAAGCTGCGGGAGCAGTGCCTGCAGGCAGGGGCAGTGTGCGGAGCCACGTGGCCACCCTGAGCCTGGGAGCCAGAGGGACATGCCCGTTGCTTCCGGGAGCTGCCCGAGGTAAGCGCCGCCCATGCAGAGCCCACACCCTGAACCCTCTCCCACACCCCAACCCCCTGTCCCAGCCGGGAGTTCCCTCCCGCACTCCAACCCCCTCAGCTCCACCCCCAGCCCGG